CAAAACCACACTTGTACTTTTCTGCATTATGCATTGCATTTGTTGGGAGTGCACCCATCTGGATACCTTGAACAACTGAAAAAGCACCTGAAAAGTTCAAAAAGGGAAGAAAAGTTAAGCTTTTTTCTAGCTTTTTACTGAAAAGAAACAATCCTATCAAAACTGAAAGCTTGAAGGCAAAAAGAATTGGGTGGCAGAAGTCAGTTTCAAAGCTTGTTTTCTGAAACTAATACCGATGGGTAATACATTCAAAATACAGTACGACTTTATAGGTTCCAACATGCAGACAACTTTTAAACAATCTACAAAGAACATTGTTTTCTTATTATATCACCTTTAAAATCACTTCTAGAGCTACATGAACAATAAATCAGTTCATATTCCCTTAACCAGTGGCTTTAAAATAAGTTGGTTCTTTGCAAAATAATCATGTCTTGAGCTATATTTTCTTACAATGGCTTCCACAAAATTGTTTCTTCTCATATTGTCCCCTCTCAGTCTCCCTGAATGCCTAATGTCTTGTACAGAGAATAGTAGCAAAAGAAAGATCTTTCCTCATCTTTCTGTGATGGAGCATGGCCTTAATGAGCTTCAGCATTGCCAGCAGGCCATTCTCCACTGAAGTCACCCAGTACTAGGCCCTGCAAAGGAACAAAAAGCCTCTCCACAAACCCCTTACAAGCTTCCACACTGGATGTGTACATAAAATAGGAATGCTGTTTTTCCATTTTGAGGATGTTGTGAAAACCATACTATTAGGAAGAGTATGCTTTAAATTGCCCCAACTTCATTTGTTCATCAATATATGGCTTTGAACTACAAATTGACAGGAACTGGAGCAGTCACCAGTTACCTGAAACCCAGATCAATCTCAAACAGACATGCAACTGCATATTAATAAAACACCCAATGAAGAACCAAAGTATCTTCCATTTCACCATAAAAAGTCTATTGTCCACAGGAAATTAAACATTTTTAATTGTGCTATACCCAGCATGAATGTTCACAAGTAACACAGCTTCCTGATGCATTTGCTTTGAGTACATCACCATTTTCATTAGAAAAGTCTGTGAAAAGTACTTTGTGATGGATACAAGTACTTGATTCAGGTATGCTCACATGGCAAATCCCAAAATTGTAAAATAGAGCACAGCAGCATTTCCACCAAAATATTAAACATAACTAGTTTTGTTTTAGGGCTTTCTGCAATATCTTTTGCAAAATTTTCATTTCAGAAAGCTTGTATGTCCTGATTTTCATATCATTTATATTATAAGGAATTACAAACTATAATTAAGCTACTTCTAGAGCACTCAATGGGCCTTTTTCTAATATATAAGCACAATTTTGTCTCAAGTCAATAGCAATCCCCTGTCTCTGGCTATTAATCATATGACCATGAGAATTTTTGAATTCAATAGTATGTGAGTAATTTATGAAGACATAATTCCCAAACTTGCAGAAACTGGTTTCACTAATTAATGTTAGTGGAGGGGGGACACTCATCAACAATGTCTTCCCTTAAGTAACCCAAAATTCACATTTGCATTTTGCAAAGGGCACTACAATGACTGTGCAAACAAAGTATAAAGTGCTAAACACTGCTCTTGCTTTGTAGAATAAAATAAATTTTAAAAAAATATGTGAGGACTACCAAACCTGATGGAATCACTGGTACCAGAATTAGCTAACTGAAGTGGGTGAGCTCACAGGCAAGTTAAATCTGCAATATAAGGAAAGTTCTTCTACCTCTGAAAGTTTGCATTGACCAGGAGTTTCCATGACACTTGCTTCAGAGCAGAAAGAACTCTTGTCACCTATAAATATTTTTAACTCTCAAAGGACGGCAGACAAAACATGATCAGTGACTTCATAATTGGCTAGTTAATAGTCTCTGAGTTGATCATTTTTAGCAGTTCTTAAAATCCTAGCTGGTTTCCTTCTGGTGTCCCACAAATTTCTATGGGTGGCAGGTGCCTAAAGCATTCTTGCTAGGATCACTAGTTTGACAATGACTTCCTACATTTATCCTGTGCTTTCTGTCACTTATGTAAAGTGGCCATGATGGAAAGAGGTACATGAATCACCCAACGTTATAGACTAAATTGTGAAATTGTGCCCCCTTCTGAAATGCATTTAAAAATCTAACTTCCTTGTGACTGTATTTTGGGATATGGTCTTCAGAGAGGTAATTAAGGTTAAATGAGGTCAGAATGTGGGAACCTAGATGCAACAAGATTGGTGTCCTTTTAAGAGGAGGAAGAGACATCCTCCTCTGTGTATGTGGAGATCTCTCTCTCTTTCTCTTTCTCTCTCTCTCCCCACATGCACAGAGGAAAAAAGTAAATAAAAAAAAGACATGTGAGGACACAGTCAGAAGGTGGTCATCTATAAGCCAAGAAGAGAGCCCTCACCAAAAAGCAAATTTACTAGCACCTTGATCTTGGACTTCTTAGCCCCCAGAACAATGAGAAAATAAACATTTGCAGTCTAAGCCACCCAGTCTGTGGTATTTTGTTATGTTGGCCAGAGCTAAGAGTCAACAATGTGACTGTTACATCCCAAGTAGTGTGCGGTGTGTATGTATGACTGTGTCCTGTCAACTAGGCATTTTCGCATACTTTATTTCAATATAATGTTCAACACCTCTATAAGCTAGCAATGTGATTTGATAGAAAGAGTCATATAAAACCATGTTTGAATCATGGGCCTTCACTTCCCCGAAGTAGGATCTTAAGCTTAAGTCCTAAATTCCTCTGAGCCTCCGTTTCCTCCTCTAATAAATGTTTGTCAAACTGGTTAACTCCATCTCTGCCAAATTCAACAAGTCTCCATAGTATTAAGCACCATTTATCTACCATATATGAAATTCATTTCATGGTTTTTTGCATGTGTTTGATAAACATTGTGTTGGTTTCTTCAAGAGAAAAGTACTACAAAAATACCCATTATTATTGGTGAGGGTTTCTCTGCCTTCATACCTTTTTAGCCTTCTGCCATAGTGAACCAATTTTAATTTCCTCCAAACCCCAAGTTCTTTCATCTCTTCTAGGTCTTGGATGACATGGTGCCCCTAAAATGCTTTTCTCTTTTGATGCCTGGAGAGCAAACATTCATTGTTTTTTAAAGTGGTTGCCTTTGCCAAGAAGCTTTCTGGGATCACCTTAGGTAAAACCAATCACTCATTCTCTCCTTTTGCCAACCTATCTATTCCTTGTATATGCTCCTAATATATAACACTTCTCATTTCATTAATTATAAAATGCACATTTCTTCACATTTAAAAAATCTCTAAAATGAGACTTTATCTTACAATCAAAGCTATCATAATTTAATTGGCAGAATTTTTTATTTCTTGGAAGTACAGAAAAATGTGCATCTTACACACAAGATCATTGGAGAAATACAGCTTAATTTTTTAACTTTCTAAGGTGAGTATAGCAGTGTTTCACATCAGGGGGCATTCTAGTTTCCCCTTTCATACACACATATTTGGCAATATTTGGTTTTATCAACTTGCAGGTGGGTATGCTGATAGCATCTAGTGGGTAGAGGCCAGGGATGCTGCTAAGCATCCTATAATGTACAGGACAACCCCCAACAACAACTGTCCAGCACAAAATGTCAATAATGCCAAGGCTGAGAAACCCTAGTGTAGAGTAACAATGCTTATTTGGATGTATGATATGTTTTATTATGTTTGGTTTTTAAATCAATCTTTTAAAGTGTATATACATCCTAATATACAGCAATTTCTTTTTTCCCAAATGGCTTGTAAAGCAAGATGGTAATTCTTGAGAAGTGCTCTAAGCTTTCTTCATCACTCCTCCCCATTTCCTTTGCTTAGACTCCCAAGGGGAATAAATGAAGCAATGCTCCAGGTAGAAACTGGAAAGCCAGAAGGCCTCAAAGAGATTATGACCTTAAACTAATTAAGTAATGGCAAGACCAAGACTAGATCCCCAGATTTCCATGATTTCTCTCAGCCTAGGAGGCAGCTGTTCTGTTTTCTGGTTAACTTGGTTAACACAGTTTGGTACCTTAAGCGGAAAACACATGCTACAAATATGAACTGTGTGACTTAACAGGAGGTTAGTATTAGCATCCATGCTTCAACATCAGAGAACCACTCTGTTCTCTCCCCACTCTATGAGAATTTAAGTGGACTCAGTAAGGTCCCTGAGTCTATGGGAAATTGAATTTGTGCAAAAATAACTGTGATTCCTAAGTTTGAAAGAATTTTAATGTAAGTTATTTCATCATACAAAAGGCATTGGGGACTGTGTATTTAAGGCTCTGGAAGAAGGGTTATACTAATTTGGAAGAGGGAGTAGGAGGAGCTGTCCTCCACTTCCAGAAGCTGCTCCTGTGGCAAGGGCCTTCACTTGGAGCAGGAAGCTGATTTATCTGAGAGAGGAAGGTGATCCAGAGGTCTTTGGCAAGGCCTCTCCTGCTTCTCCGCTCCATAGTCAGGTGGCCCCAGATGGACACTCCTCCCAAATGCCCCAAAACATCCACCCCGAGTTCCCTGTCCCAAGTGTGAGTCCATGGCATATCAACACTGTGTTGCAGCCTGTATAAGCCAGGCAGGTCCACTTGACATTCAGATAGACAGAAGAAAATGCATGGAGCCTTGGGGGTGCTTGACATGCCATTATTCAAGGGTGGGTGAGCCACGCAGGCCACAGGCCCATGTCTGTGTCTGTGTTCCCACTGAGAAGCCCCTACCTTCTTAAGTACTAGAAGGAACAAAGCCAGGTACAGGCCAAATTGTTAGGTAACATAGAATAATTCTACACATGCAAGCCCACTTCATGTTATGGGAACCGTTTATGGGATCCAGTCTCAAGGCTATGAGAACACTACTTTATCAGACTTCTTCAAGGTGTAAGAAATTGCTTCCCTTAGTTACCCAGACACCTGGGTGAGGAATCTAGACTGCCTCCATTTACCTTAGAACCACTCCTTCACTCCACCAGAGCTGAATGGCAGTGGGCAGCTCAGCTTGGGATCCTGTGACCCCACCCGGTCTCCATCCACAGGTCCTCCAGAGGAATGCTGGAGGCCAGACTCACCTTCATGTGGATGGCGAAGGACCAATCCTGCTGCAGGGTACCCAGAAGTGTCTGCTCCATGCTAACCAGCTCTTGGGTTGAATCCACTACACAGAATAGTGCACTGTGGGTCGGCATTCTGGCCGGGGTGCAGGTTCGCCGGCTCTGGGGAAAGGGCAGCTGTCCCATGCCCCTTTTGGTGCCTCACACTACCTCCACCTCGAGGGAGCTCACCAGGCTCGCCATTTCTGAACCTTCTGACCACACTGCCCTCCTCCTGCCCCAGCCCCATGCCTGCACAGACTCACCACCGGCCAGAGTGATACACTGGGGCGGTGGACACGTAGTCTTGCTCACAAGGAAGACTCAGGGGTGCCCCAACAGTCCCTCCAGCCCCACTCTTGCTGCAGGATCTGCAGAATCTGCAAAGCCCACACTTCGCAGATGACGGAGGCCACTAAAAGCACAGGGCTGGTCATCACCTCCGCAACTGGGAGTGCGAGCTCCGTGGGCAGTTGGAGCAGCTAGCGTGGGAGGCAGAGGCGTTTGGAGTCGCCAGGGTCACATTTCCTAACCCAAGGCTAGTTGGCTTCCTGGCCTTTCCACGTGTGGAGCCAGCCTCGCCCCGCGGCCCACTATGGATGGCTCATCCCTGCATTCACTTAAAGTCCAAATGGCCTTGTTCCTACCCAAGGCTTCTTAAAGCGTTGCTCCTTGTGCATTTGATAATTAGCCAAATACTGAGCTCTTGTTCTTCCCCCTCTCCAGAGTTTTGTTGGAAAAATGTGCTGCCTCTGTGTGCAGATGCATCTGTCGGCAGCCCCCAACTCCTTTGAAAGAGGCCTGCCAGTGACCATTGAGGCCCTGGGGACTGAAGGTGGGATGCCAGCATAGAACACACTCCCCCTTGAGTGAAAGTGTGAAGAACCAGAGAAAAGCTGGGAAAGAAAGAGGGTACCAGCTCATGCTCCTCACCTTTTTCAGTCCTAGGGGAATTTTTAGTAACTTCTTAGAGATCCCTAAAGGCCTTTAGCCCCCAAGCAAAAGAAGGGGACTTGTGTACCTGGAAGGTCTGCAGTTCTCTGCTTTGCCCCATGCCACATGTGTTAGGAGAACCTGACTGCGAAAGCAGCATCAGGGTGCGAACCTCAGTCCTACTTCTGCAGTGACCCGGGAACAGGCCAGTCACTGCGCAGATGAGGAGCATAAATGGTTTTGTGTGAAACTCACAAAGGACTTAGGCAACAGCATTTGAAGCTAAATCCTTTTGCAAGCCAGGGAGAGCTGTTTTAATTAAACCTAACTTCTCTACTTCCTTAACTTAGGAAAAAGGACTTGGCAAAGTTATGCTTGCCAAAGATTGGTAACTATCAATGTGTAATTACACTTAAAAAAAAGAAAAGAAAAGAAAAAGCCCCAGCTTCTGTGGCTCAGTGGCTTGAATGCCGGCCTGCGAACCGAAGGGTGGCTAGTTCATTACCAGTCAGGGCACATGCCTGGGTTGCAGGCCAGGTCCCCAGTAGGTGGCGTTAGAGGCAAACATACATCGATATTTCTCTCCCTCTTTCTCCCTCCCATTCCCTCTCTAAAAATAAGTAAAATCTTTTTTTTTTTTAAAGACATTTGTGGGAATGGTACTGAGAACTGTCTAAGAGCAGCATCATTTCTGCTTCCTTCCTGCATGAGAAACTATTTGGATATTACAACAACACAGTAAAGCGGGGAGCAAGAGTGCAGGTCCATGACAGACAAGTGGACCCTAGAAGACCCGAAGGATGGCACTTGGTTCTTCCTTTAGAAAGGAGAGTCTTCCCTTAGAGGTGTGGAGTGAGATGTGGAGAGGCCCTTGCTTGCGTGGAAAAGCTGCTCCAGTGACTATTAGTCTAGAAAGGCAGTTATGGGAGACATGGGGAGGGGTTCAGGGTCCTTTGAGGTTTTTGTTGTTGTTGTTGTTGTTGTTGTTGTTTTTAATTCTGGGATAACTATGACTCCATATAATCCTCCCAACTCTCTTGTGATGATTCTTTTTCATTTTCAGTGTTTCTTTGCCTATGAAAACAAATCAGAATGCCAAGGTAAAAGAAAAAAAAACTGTCTTAAATAAAAATGAGTATGTTTACACTAATTATATCTAAGTAAAAATGCATGTCTGTGCATTGACATAAAGGAAATTATTTTGGAGAGAAGTTAGTCATTTAATGTTGATTAAATTTTCTTGCCATGAAGTTACTTAAGCTTATAATAAAAAATAAATTTGTGTGTGTGTTTTATCCTCAAATGTTGAAATATCTTAGGTTTAGCAGAGACTAACTGGGAATACCAAAAACTAACCCCTAATTTTCACAAAGCATGTCAGATCTCCCAGATGCTCTTGTTTCCAGATAGTCAGGAAATCGTTTCATGGGCTAACTCTTCTACTTTCGAATGGCTGACTGAAAAACCTTGACAATTGGAATTCCAATCAACAGCAGAATTGAAATCACTAGACACAGCCTGACTTGAGGCCCCACTGTTCTACACACCAGGCGGACTCTGAGAGCTATGAAATCAACTGAACTTCAGGCAGTATGAGAGAAGGGGGCTAGAAAAACATGGGACCTGTGGGATGGTACATGCAGCTATTTATGGTTGCCTGGGTTTGCCAGTATCTTTTATAGAGCCCTGGATTAACTAGCAACTCAGACTTTGTTTGAGCCACACTTTCTTTGCCATTAACTTGAAATCACTGATGTTTCAAAGCTGGAGATGAGACCCTAACTAAGGAAACGTATTCATAGACTATTGAGATGATTCAGTAGCACATTAGATCTACTTTTGATTTAAAACACCTCCAAAGTTATATGTTCTGTGCTATCAGACCAAGTACTAAGATACAACTCCCAGTTTTACTTTACTGACAATTTCAGGCTACTGTGTAATAAAAAAAAAAAAATTCAAAAGAATGAAGTGCTGAACACATGATATTTTTGATTCACAATATCTACTTCACTATTTTATAGAAACCATATCCTCATTTCCCAGTAGATATTCCTCTCCTTTCTCCATATTCAGTTCATTTAGTCAGATAGGATGAACCTGCCCACTGCAGAAGCTGACTGGGTTGCTGATGCTGAGGCCAACTACACATCACATTCTTATTGTGAATTGTCAGGGATAGACACATGACCCAACTGGAACCAATATGACAATGGAGAAAACAATGGAACTGGAAGAAAATGTAGGCTGAAAAATGAAAGAGTGAAAAAGATAATTTTCCTTTTAACAAGAAAACATAAAATAGTTTAATCAATAAGAATAAAGTTATTGTCTCAGATCACAAGTCCTAAAGTAGGATGGCTCCAGGGTTTGTTAATCTCTAGGAGGATCAGATCTCTAAGAGTGCTCCTCTTTCCAGATACACTGGAAATCCAGTTTCATGAGGCTAACCCATTTACAATCAAATGTCTGACTGCAGTGACTCCTTATAAATGTAAAACTAAGAAGATGTAAGTTCTGGAGCTTTTTCATCTATTTTGTGAATCTGAAGGGTGTGCCTGCTTGTGAGTGGGCCAACATTAAAGAAAAAAGAAAAAAAAAACACCAGATTTAGAGAGAGAAATCAGTGGCCTTATAACTTTGTCTGAACCCCACATTTAGGTATACAAGAAGATAGCCACATCCCTGAGCTTTTTATTTCTACAAGCCACTAAATCCTCTTTCATGCTTGAGCCACTCTGGGTTCAGTTTACTGCCTCTTGTAACAGAAAGCCACAACTGAAGCAAATGGCTTAACACTGTAATAGGATAGACAGGATGTTATTAAAATGATCCTGTGGCCCAAAGCCCCTCAGGCAAAACACTGATAAAAAGATCCCTTCAACCATTTTCACCAGTGCCACTTTGTCATTCACCTAATCTTTCTAATATTTGAGCAGTCATGGGAAAAGCTATTTGAGCAAGTTTGGTCATTGCTGACAACTGATGAGAGCATTAGAAAATGATCAATGGAAACATTCATGATCTTGGTGCTGTGGGATGGAGAAGAGGGCAGAAAACTCAGTGAGGTGAGAAGCCATTTTCTATCTGTTAATGGACAAGGTTGTTATGTAAATAAGGAGTCTATTGCTTCTACTAATCCAAAAGTTCTTTTCTCACATGAGCAAAAGATATAAGCTCTTGTGTAGAATCATGAAGAGGTTGGATCCAGTGAGAACAGAAAGGAGCTCTTAAGAGATACAGCTTTGTGTAGCTGTCCTCAAAGGACGTGGTAGAGCCCAGGTACATTTGAGCCTTCCTTATATACTTTGGCACTTTTTTCCAAAAATGATCCAACAGAATTCCAGAAATGGAGTTCTTAACCTTCAACACACCCTGGTGAACTTCATAAGAGGGGGCAAAACAAACAAACAAACAAACAAAAAAACAGTCCCAAGAGGCCAAAGAGTTATTATTCTTGAATGAAAATTATTACTGAGGAGAAACAGATGCTGATTAGATATACCAAGATATGGAAATGTTTTGTGAAAGAGAAAACAATGGAACTAGGAAAAGATGGAGGCCCAATGAAGAAAGAGCAAAAAAGATCAAATTCCTCTTTACACACACAATTATGTTTGCATATGCCTATTCATATCAATGCATGTGCAATTTTAACTTTGGCTTAAACATTTAATTTTGGGGGTGGAGGGAAGATGCGATCCTGCCAAGAAATCTCTGAATTGCCAAAAAAATATAGTTAACCTAGGGTGATGTGTTTTTAGGACATTACCTATGCACTGCCTGCCCAGATCCTATTTAGCTGGTGAAACAAAATGAAGCTTAGTAAAACTAAGCATAGAAAAACAGGGAAGTCTAAAAAGGAAGAAATAAGAAGTAAAAAATGTTGAATCCCACCTGCCTGTGCCAGTATAATTTGATGTGCAACTCACCTTCTCAATATAAAATAACATTATTCCTGGACATATAATTTCCTGGACAAATAATTGTACTGAATTTTTTCTCAATAATTAGTTTATTTCTGGAGGGAATTCTTAATGTTGGCAGGAAAAATATCGAAAGTGGATTTTTAAAGAGTAGATGTGATTTTTTTTTCTAATTGTTGTAACTCTGGTAGATAATTGGGTTTTTAAGAGTGACAGATGGCCATGGATTTTCATGCTGACTACACATAATTTCAACAAGACAAACTTGCTGAGTTCTCCCCTTCATTTCTGATTACAAAATGTAAACTCTGAAGAATATTCTTTCCCTTGGAGAGAAAGGTTGAAAAGCTTCTTGACTGCCTGAACTATTTCGATTATCTCTATAGATATGGTCTATAATATTGAAATGGGGGGCTGGAACTAATAGTAATAAAAGGTGAAAGGAATTAATGTGATTGTGTTTTAATGCAACTATATTCCAGGATCTTCAATCTTAGGTGGAAAAAATGTCTTTAGAATAGCCTGGTACTGACATAAGAATAGACATGTGGATCAATGGAACAGAATAGAGAGCCCAG